TTTCAATTCCAACTGACACAGGTACTTTTATTTTGAAATATAAATCATATTAACATTTCATATTAATTAAAGTTTATATCGAATGTTTAGGCACTACAAATGTCAGTTTGTATGTTCCAGGCGATTTCGATTTGAGTATACCACATGAAATCAAAGAGGATGAAGAGATATCGAGGGTCTTGCAACAAAAACTACAAATTCAAGATGAAAAGAATAAAAAAATACTGCGCTTTATTGGAATTACTTTATATATTAAATTAAATTATCTTTTATGAATATTTATTTTATTCGTATGTGTAGAACTTATTACATGTATAAAGAACAAAGTTACCGATCAGATTTTGTAAATTTTGCCTCTATATATGTTGAGTATATAGCGATAGTTCGATTTAAGAGTTCCTGCACCTACATGTATTACCATTACCTAACGCTAATTTCGCACGTCTTCCTATAATAGTTTAGCCCGGCCGGATTTCGTATATGCGTTATCGGTATTGTTTCACAATTTATAATAATAGCAGTATTTTTGGCATTGTAAAGTTCCGATATGGCAAATGAAACAAACAAATGTATTACCGTTATTATGAGAACGAATCAGGAGAATAAATACGTATCAATATTTAAATACATGTACGTATCGACATATTCTCTATCGTTACCACATTGCTGAAAAAAAGTTGCTCTGTTTTTTTCCGCCCAATTACTTTTCAGATTGTCTATTGTGAAATTTGCCAGGAGCAATTTTCACTTCAACCACCACCGAACCACAACCTTCTCTAAAATAACCAAACGAGCATTGATTGCTCTTCTTTTTCCTACCATCTAAAACTCGACTTATCTATCTATCATCGATACTAGACCGCAATAAAAAAGATACGAACAAATAAAACATGGTGGACCTCAACAATATTCTCGCCTACACCTTTATAATTCTATTTGTATCATTAATATTATTATTATTGGTATTGGCTGCTAAATATTTTTGTGACAGAATAACGAACAGATCTAACAACAAAGAAGCTACAGCGAATAACGAAGTACCACAAGTTGCAATTAAAATAAGTGGGAATGACAGACCGCCAAGTGAAATGACGATGGTTGACTTGGGGGACGAAGACGAGAGAAAGAAAAAGAAAAATGAAAAGAAACGGAGAAACGAACATTTGGTCATCACAATTCCATCATCATAATTATTGTAGTTAGCGTTAATCTCTTAAATAAATGCTATATAGCGCTAGTCTGTATTACTTAGTATTAGTAACGGTAATTATAAAATTATTTAAAAGTTTGCCGAATTTTATTTCTTTCACTCATAACTAGCAAAGGGACCCCAAGTAGAATTATCATGGCCATATATATTATTTTGGTAGGTGAGTTGTTAATGTGTGGCTACAAAATTTTTAATGAATAAAAAATTAAAATTTTTTGAATTAATAAAAATCACAAGAAAGATAATTACCCATACCTTGCTGAAATCAATTCTAGCCATAATTATTAGACCAGTTACGTTTTATTCGCCCTATCAAAATATCAACAGCGCACAACCAAAGAACCGCCTTAGCATTATGAAATAAAATATTCAAAACATTAAAGATAAACATACCAAAAAAAAAGTATACAATCTCGCGAAATTTCGTCCCTTTCTTGCTCTCTTCAACGCCTCATGCATATCAGTCTGTGAGCCGTTCCCGCATTCCAAGAAGTCAGCGAGTGCACAATTCGCAGGCTCGTATTCATCCTCTGCAGCTTTCTTGTACCAATGAAACGCTTTACAATTATCGATATCCGTTCCCCAGCCATAGTGATGACATTGAGCAAGTTTGAATTTGCCGAACGTATCTCCATTAACTGCGGATTTATATGTCCACTCGAAAGCTTTTCTCTCGTCTATTTCGCATCCACACCCCTGACGATAACAGTAACCAAGATTATATTGACCTCGTTCGAATCCGGATTCGGCAGAAAGTTTGAACCATTGAAAAGCTTGTTCTGAATCTTCTTTTACTCCTCTTCCGTGATTATAAAAATAACCGATAGCACTTTGAGCCATCGCATTTCCACCTGTGGCGCTTTGATTCGATTTTTGATACCAATGAAATGCCAACTCGTAATTTTGCTCAGTTCCAATTGCATTTTCATAGCAATAAGCTAAGTTATATTGACCAACAGTGAATCCAGCTTCTGCTGATTTCTTTGCCCAATAAAAAGCTTTATTACTATCTTTTTGGGTGCCTGTTGCGTCTCGGTAACATCTGCATAAAAAATTTTGACAATACTTATCACCGTTTTCATCACCTTGAAGATAAATTTTTACTGCGTATTCTCGATCGATCCTTGTCCCGATTCCATATTCATAGCAATAACCAAGTAAGGAAAGATGATGCGGTTGTTTTTTTTTGATTTCGTATTGCTCTTTTAAATATAAAAGTGAATCAAGTAATTCTGTTTCTTTGTATCCACGTTCAAAAAGAAATTCAATAATAACTCTCTTGAGTGTTTTGAAATAAGTTCCACGATTAAGAACATCAATAAAAGTAAATGTTGCTTTATTCGCTATTCTGAGTTTCCTTTTTGATAATTTGTCTGGAATAGTAATCCAAGAGTTGTTGTCCATTATTATCGTTATTTCTTTTGTTTATTTGTGGGGTATCGGTATGTCGGTTTTAGAATATATTATTATTAATCTGATCGTGATTAATTATTATTGTTATTGACGTTGATGCACAATATGATGAAAGCATCATAATCATCATCGTCATTATCACTAGGTAAAAAAGTTGAAGTACAGAACATGTACGCACGTATATTTTTTATTTTGTCACACAATAATTGCACACCCACCAATTAAAATTTACATACAATATCAGCGCAGCGTTTCAGCAACAACAACACAACACTGTACGTACCCTAATATTCAATGGCGACCTTCACGAATTCCTCTTGTTGAATCCAAGAAGATGGTGCACACAACATACTTAATGTGAATATTCTCTCGATGGCTTTAAATTTAAATATTTGTTTGGAAATGATTATTTTATTTATTTTATTTTTCTATACGGTAGGTATATATCGATATCACATAAATAAATTCAAAAAATTGAATAATAGCGAAGGCACTTTTACTACTACAACGTCGAAACTACTGGTCATAGTCCGTCTCTTTTTATTTGGTAACGTGCGAATCATGCGATTAAGGAGTGAGCCATTTTCTCAATGTTTTTATCTTTATGAGTGATGATTGAACTAAATTTATTAAACAAAAAAGTTTCTACAGAAGTATTTTTACAGAAGATCAAGAAGAAAATATTCTACTCAAATTATGCGTTGCAAACAGTCCCACTAGGTCAGTTCTCTTTATACAACGTCTATTCAATTTGATGGCCGTGAAAATATCTTTATTACACGCATCACCCACTTCAAAATACTCTGCCAAAATCTGTTGACTACTTTCATTTCCGGCAAGCGCAGCTTCTCGAAACCAATAAAAAGCTGGCCAATAATGTTTTTCCTGTTTCGATCTATTCGAATCAAAATAAAATTGCGCTAAATTCTGTTGTCCTCTTGGATTCCGACTTGCAGCTGACTTTTTTAACCAGGACTCTTGTCGCGTGGAGTTTTTGACAATCCCAAATCCGAATTGATAACAATATCCAATGAATAGCTGCGCGTAACCATCCTCATCACCCTCGACCGCATTATTAAATATTGTGAATGCTATTTTATAGTTCAGCTCAACGTTCAGCTCAACGCCAATCCCGAACAGATAAAAGAATCCTATTAGGCATAGCCATTTAGCTGGTTTTTCAGAGTCATTGGCTTTGATGATGAGTAAATTGAATGCTAACTCTAGTGTTATATTATTGCCGTGAATTATTGTTCTTATATCTGTGGCAATATCTTCAAAAAAGAATCCACGATCGAGTTTCTGGTGAAATACTAAAAGTAGATTGGGAATAATTTCCTCGTCTGGTGATGATGTGAATATCGGAGAAGGTGTTGACGTAGTTGTTGCTGCTGTTATTGATTCTGACGCTCTAAAATCTTGAAATAGACCATTTGTTATTCTGCTCAATGTTGCCATTTTATTATAAAGCTATGTATAAAATTGTTCTATATCTTTTCATATTATGTAACATTAAAACAGAAATACAGTAATAAAATTATAAGACAACAATGCAATGTCTCCGCGGTGGATGTGTGTACTCAAGCAAAGAGAGCGTAATACATGTACACTTTTCACAAGAAAATATCACTATAACAAGTTGTGATCTTCTCGTCGTGTTTCCAAACCAAAAATCACGCGCTTGTGGAATGAATTTGCGATGGCTCAACGTTTATTGGACGATAATACAATTATTTATTGCTAATTAAAGTTGAAATCAGAATTTTTTTTTAATAAAATATTTCCATAAACGGACTAACTTGAAAAAAAAGTTCGTATGAATGAAAGAGACTCATTGGTTTATGAGACAAAACAAACTCATGTTTATCGTGAATCAGTACGTAGATACTGTAACGGTAATCATTTCGATCGTGAAATACCCAATTTATCGTTATCGTTATGTACCAAGTTCAGCTTTAATCTTGGGAGCGAAGGTGATTATTCAAATTCCAATTTCTAATTTGTCGCTAACCGAGTCTGGCGAAATTTCGTGCCAATCATTCCAATCATTCGATCAGAAATTTTTTGATGATTCACACAAAGAAAAGTTTTGCTTACCTCCCACCCCCTTCCCAAATTAAAAACTTATCTGCATTAAAACACGTACACTTAATGCACAAAACACAAAGGTCGCGCAAAATAATTTCTTGATATTTCCGCTTCTATTGTGTCCTATTCTTTGGTCTATTTTGTCAACTATATACTTTTATTATTTAGTACGTAGTTATTATCATTATTATTATTATTATTTACTGTGTTGTTATTGGACGATAATCAACGAGAAAAGCCTCAGAATGATATATTAACTGACAAATTAATTGATTATATCAACACGCACCAAATATATAGTCATTACGTTACGTTCGATCTATTATTCATAATCAGAGAAGCTAAATAGCTAAATTTATCGACGACGAAACCATGAACGGGTTGCCACCACAAACTACGATCGATCCAACAAGAACCGCGGAGATTATGGCAAAAACCGAAGAGGCATTTATTTTTTTTAATTTTTTTTAAAAAAAATATCTTTTCGTCAATAATAGGGAAACGTTACATTGATTAATTCATATAGGCAATTGAGGCATATCTGCAAGCAGGCCAACAATTGCGCTATGTTTCTCAGGTTATTGGGGAATTACAAGCTCTTTTACCGCCAGACATGTGCATCAAATTACCACCTGGCTTACTAAATGAGATTCCACCTATCAACACGCACGATCAAATTATCGATCATGAATCAACTGCTCTTCCTTTGGCCGCTGATTTCAACGATCATCATCGTAATATCGTAGAATCGCCTCAATCAACAAATGGTAAATCGAATAATAATAGTCAGACAATTGACAATGATCTGATGAGGGAAATGTTCAGCGAGGAGGAAGAGGAAGAAGATGAACTTTATCCTTCTCCACCATTACATCAATCACCATCTCCCGTTTCAAGCCCTGAACCAACCCAACCAATTACTCAACAATCCACTAAAAAAAGTAGAAAATCAAAGCAAAAAGATAAAATTCATCATCAACCCTACAAGAAAATGACTGTTACTACTGATCAATCAAACAACGACAACAACGATAATGACAAGGAGATCGACAATACTTCGGCCAGGTCAACAACACCGATTGTCAAACAAAGGAAACAGAAACATTCTGAAGTCACTACCAAAGTCAAATATCAAGCTTTGAAACGAGTTAGAATCCCACTTAATAGAAATGCTCAATTTGACGCCGAAATTCCTCCTACTAACTCAGCGACACAAACGTCACCTGAATCAGCAAACTCGTCATCACAAACTACCAACAATGATTATACTCCGCAAGCTTCCGAAATTTCCATCCCTAACCTCTCTTCTGAAAATACAACCAGAAAGAGAAGCCCTACAACCCGAGCTAATAATTCGGCAAAAAGACAAAATTCCGGTTCACCAAAAGAAGTTCCATTAACTAGCGAACAAAACGTATTGGTGGATGAATTTGTTAAATATTTGGAACCTCGCCTGGCAAAAGGTGAAATTTCGCAGAAAGGCATCGCTAATGAAATTCGTGCAAGGTCAGGAAACACTTGCCAAATTGTGCAGGGAACCATTTCAAAAATGGTACGAAGAATTGCGGTTCCAAAAGAGGAGCATACTATCGCAGCTATTCGTAACTGGATTGAAATCGAAAAAGGGAACCGTGGAACCTCTGAATAGAGGCTGAAATATATCGATAAATCATCATAATTAAGTTTTGACATTTGAAGAGTTCAGAATAAAATTAGAATAAAATCTAACTGATTTTTTTCTTTACATACATGACATGCTCTAGCCAAATTATGTCTTTTGCTATCTCTTGTTTGTTCATCTAGTGTTATCATTTTCTGCAATAAATAATTATGATAACACATAACATACTGTAATTAATAAATTCCACCACCACCATCAATCAACCTCTCCCAGTTTCATTTATGACCGTCGCCCACGCGCGAAACTCTTCACAAATATAATCAGGTGACGAAAACAATAAAATTACCAATCGTAATTTTTTAAAATTTGCATTGAAAACCGGCTGCAACATTTCCGCATTTAAATTAGTGCAACAATAAAATTCCATTTTCTCGAGGTTTATGCACGAGGCTAGACCATCCAATTTTCGACAATTAAGGAAATCGCAGGAGATGAATTTGATTCGACGAAGTGTTGATGAATGAATTTTCAGGATGTCGTTAATTTTTTTCGCCAAACAGTAGGAGATTGTGAGCGAGGTGAGTTGTTTTTGTGAGCCTATTAATTTCACAAATCTTTCTATTGTAATCCGATGATTGCTGTATAGATCGTTTTCGGCTAAATTGTCCAAATTCATGAATTTCTATAAATAAAATTTAAGATTAATTTTTGCGCCATATTTCCCATTATAACATGATGAAATAAACATACCACATTTTTACAAACGGTATGCAATTCAGCAATAGAAGCCTCCTCGTTATTTGATTTTGTTTTCAACCAAAGTTTATGTATATTTTCTAATAATGGAATCGAACTTGAATCAAGTAATAAGTGAAGATAACTACTAACATTACAATTTTTATCCTTCTCGGTAGAAAGACGAAAAAAACCAGACGAACTTAAATATAATGACTTTAACTGAACTCCATTATTCAAAAATAATTCAAATAACAGTCGAATGCATAATACAATATATTCTTTGGAATTTTTCAAGTCATTTGGCAATTTTTTTTCTGTCCAGCAATAAATCACTGTTACCATTCTATTAAATTCTAATTTTTGAATAAAGGAAGAATAATTAAACATAAGGTTGGTGACTGTTGGTTTTTCTTGCTGTTCTTGCTGTTTCTTTTTCCGTGAGAATGAAAAGTACCTCATTAAAATAGATTTTTGTTGTTGTTTTTGTTTGGATTGCTTTTTCCTTTCGCGGATTTCTTTTTCATAAATTGCCCTCGGCAAAAGTAAGTCAAGAACTTTGTAACATGGTCCTGAATACGTGACTTTAAATGGTTGTTGCCATAGTAATTGAACTGCTACCTTTGACCACGCCTTGTTAACTAACATACAATTGTAAAGAGTCCAGTGTCCAGGTGGATTTGTTACAAGTTCCTCTTGATAAATGGGATCAGCGAAGTTTGAGAAAATTAGTTTTAATATATCGGAGGATAACTGGGGGTGCTGAAGATTTTTCATCGTTCAAATATACGTATACGTAATGAAATTTAATAATATAAATTATTTACTTGTTCATAAATCATTTATATACGTATTTTGCGTTTGTCTCACTATGTTCGTATCTCAAACATAGCTTTATTTACACTGTATTTAGATACTGTATATCGATATCGATATTTATTTACGTATACTGTATCGGTATTATGTATTATCTGCAAGTAACGGTAAGATACTGTGATTGGTTAGCACAAGGGCGTAAATGAAAATGTTCTTTGTTTCAAAGTAATCGTAGAATTGTTATTAATAAATACGGAATTTTGCCGCAAAGCATTCCACTACTTTGGCCCAATTTATTGGGACAAATCGTTATTGGAAGATATCGAGGCTGTAAATTTTGAGCCATTTTGCTCGTTTATCAAATGAAATCATATGTAGAATATAAACATATCGATATCGATATGTGCAAGAAACTTCAGATCTAATTTAATATTAGAATATGATAATACACAATGAATTTTTATAAGTCAAAAGCTTTCTAAACAAACTCTCTATTGACAAGGAAATTAATCAAAATTAAAAATCAACCTCTTTTATAGTAGAGACAAATTAAACTTTCGAAATATACGTAGTGGATTAATATAAGTATCAGCTGTATCCAACGTAACATCTTGATTGATTTTAATATACCGATACATGTACGTACACGACACGTTTCAGATTTACATGTATTTTAATGTATCGGTATGTCGAATTTAATTTAGTATTTTAGAGTATAAAAATCAGATCAATCATAAATACATATTTTTTATTTAGTTTTTTAGCAATATTCGTACTAATATGCAGAAATGTTTTAAATGTATGACATGCCGAAATATTTGAGATGACTTGAAATTTATCGGTTATGACATGTCAAAATGTTAAAATATTTGCGACGTGCAAAAATTCTTTATACCCAAAATTATTTATGGTTTTAACTGCCAAATATTGATAGTTATCGATATTTGTGACAATTTTCAAAAGTATTAAACACCCATCTATAACACCAATTTATACACGTCAGCTCTTTTATGAATATACGTATATATGGCTGATTATTAAATTATAAAGCGATTTGTTTATCGTTGTCGTTTTCTTCGTGTTAAAAGAAGAGTTTTCATTATGCCTCACAAAAATGGGAGTTCTTTTTTTATGCGTTCTGTCTCATTTTTCATAATCGCTCTATCGCTATACACTCAAACACACGATCAATCATACACGTCTTAATTTATGGGGTGGCGTCAGCAGAAAAGGGACAAATCTATTAGATTAATTTGTCCCTTTTCTACTGACCACCCATATATCGTATCGTTATGTTGTCTGTGGGCGTAATGTATTCTTTCATGCAATCAAAAGTTCGACGTATTAACAAGCGACTATTACTTTCATAAATTCTTTTAAATAAAACACGGCAGTGAATGCTGGTGTTGTCAAGAATGGAATCATGATTGTAATAAATGTCAAAAAAATATGTACTGCTGGAAATATTTTGAGTATCACAAAGAGCTAACGAAAATAAAGATATCGATTGTCGAATGGATCTCTTTTGAAAGATTTAACAATGTTGACTATTTTGCAAAAACGAGGCTTTGGAAAAATTTATAAAGCAACGCTACATGAATACAGCGGGGATTAGGAACAAAATAAATTTAAACTACTAGAAGATGAATACGAAGAAGTTGTGTTGAAATCATTATATAATTCAAACCAAATTACATTAAATGAGGTAAAAGTGAACAATTTCTAAAGTGTAAACATGATGTTTTTTGTTTTCTAATACAAACAAATTTTTCAAAAATTGATTCTGACTGCTCTAAATGCACTAATAAATCTACATTCGATGTAATAAAGTATGATGGGAATACCCAAGAAATGAATGCTCGATTGTAATGGGGGTATGCGAAAAATGGTAAATATATTAATTCCAACTAAGAAAAATTGAATGGGATGAAAAATTAAAACACTTATATAGTATTATTGAAGGGTTAGAAAAATTTACAAAGAGGGATTTGTAAATTATGACTTTCACCCTGGGAACATATTAATAAAGTATCATGCTAGTATTTCCGAGTTTGGACTTACCGGCACAGCAGATATAACATATATAACCGAGAAATTTACGGAGTACTTCCCTATATGAGTCCAGAGGTACTAATGGAAAGCCACACGCTAAAGCTGCAGATAATTATAGCTTTGGGATGTAACATACGAAGTTGCGACAGACGAACTGCCAGCAAAGTTACGACATTTATAAAAGAAGCATGACCTAAGATACCAATTATACAAATTTAGTATTTAAAAATGTTGGTCTGATTTCTGGAATAGGATCCTAACTAATTGCGAACTTAAAGACTTTATCGACGTGGATATACAACCGAGCTGAATATCCTTTATATTATTCTAAATCAACGTGAAAAATTCTTGAGTGTCTTGAATAAGAAGGGAAGAAATGGATGCAACTTAATGAAGAGAAATTACAAAAAATATTCCTACAAATATAAGCAAAAAACAACAATCCACCCAAATGGAGTTTACACCAGTCGAATCTTTACGTCAAAATTTCAATTCCAACTGACACAGGTACTTAAATATAAATCATATTAACATTTCACGTTAATTAAAATATATATCAAATATTTAGGCTCTACAAGTGTCAATTTATATTTTCTAAACGAAGGTAAATCACCATTTAAGATCTTTTTCATCAACTTTTTTAATTCATTATTATTTTTTCGTTGTGATTTCGATTTTAGTACATGTAATACCACATGAAATCAAAGAGAATGAAGAGATATCGAGTGACTTGCAAGAAAAAACTACAGATTTAAGATGAATAAAATAGGAAAATGTCAAAAAAAGAAATGGTAACTACTTCGAATTAAAGCATCACGGATAAAAGCGGTTCGTTTATCAATTTCCTTGTGTTTACGCATATATTACAGAAGTTGTGTATATTTATTCGACCAGCTTTAAAAAATTTCGCACAAAACCTGATAATGGTATTATTTTCTCCCACTAGTAACGTACAAACTTTCTTAAGTGATTAATACTTAATTATGTCTCCATTTGATATAACACATGCTTCAATTTGATCAAGCATACTTTTAGATGGAATATCTTGCCAGACCTTTTCCACATACGGTTTGAGTTCTGCAAGATTGGAGGATGGAGGTGAGCAATTGAGTTACTTGACAATTGTAAATTCAAAAACATACACACCCAACGATGAATCTCGAGAAAGACCTCTCTCCTGGGGGGGGGACAGAGTTAAATGTAAACATCACAACTAACACGTGATGATCAATCTTTTTTGAAACACCCAAGCTAAAAAATCTGGATTTAGATCGCTAGAATATACATGTAAAAACCAAAAATGGTCGAATTAAATATGCACACTCTCTGTATAATTATATCGATCTTCATTTCTTTTATGTATACGCTTATCGTTATAACATAAAACAATCTTAATCCTAATGCATTTTTATATGTGTGATTAATTAAAGAAAAATTCTCTATACTATTAACGTTAATAATGTTTATTATTATACTTGCAAGTTGACTTGCTGTGGCTTACAACAAGCTGGATAATTTTATTGCACCTCATTTCTGATTCTCAGGTTGGCAAATTGAAATAAAAGATTATATTGATTCAATGATATTTAAACAAAAAAAAGCAAAGATCCAAATATATGGCATCTTGTTGATATGTTAATTGGAATATATAAATGCGATCTGACAGGAGCATCTTGTAAACATCAGTCTTCTATGGCAACCCATCATCATATATTTTGTTTGAACCAAATATCTACAATGTTTGCAAATAATTGTTATTATTATGCCAATCTGACATTGGGTAAAAAATGAAAAACACTTAGCTGTATAACTCGATCAAAATATTAATGATCATATAATTGGAAGAAATAATGAAAATGAATTATTATCCAAATTCTTATTTTTTATATTCTTTGATGATGAAATGAAACTAATAAAAATAACAATAATGAGAATAGCAATCAATATGATGATATTGATGATGATGATATCAATAATAACAATAATAACAATGATAATAACAGTAAAAACAGTGAAAATAACAATCAAATAATTTTTGCTGATTTTGTGATGATATAAAAAGTCTTCTTAAAGAAAATATTCTAAGTTGGAAAAAACTTTGTTAAGATCTATAAACAACATCACTCTTCATGTTCGTCCAGCAGTAATCTCTTTTCTTCAATCATGTAATTGAAATACGGACTGAATTAATATAAAAGAATGTAAGTTCAAGTTGCTGTAACTGCTCAATGCAGAAAAGGCTTAAATCATAAATTAAAGAGAGTACAGAAAGAAGGTCAAAAAAAGCTTGCAAAAAAATATATATGAGATGGAAATGGAATTATGCTGCTTTATTACATGTATATCTGTGCAGTTGAAGAAACTGTAAAAAAATGGTCTAATAATTTGCAAGACATTAATAGAAAACAAATCAAATGGTGGTATGAAATAAATAATTTGTAAAATAATAGTAATACATGTATATTGCCAAGTTTCTGTGCGTTGGAAACAAATGGGCACGAAATTATTGAATGTTTCGGTCTCGCTATACATGTACGTACGTATACGTATACATATAAAATCATTTTCAGATATGTTGATCCGAATGTAACGTGGAATGCTGTTTCACTGCCTATCGTTATCATTATTACATGTACATGTACGTATTTATACTGATACTACATACTACGTATACGTACTTGTATCGACATTTTGCAATTGATTTAATGACTTCATCAACAACGCCATCTAGTAGTTCTTTTTCTGATAACATTAATGCGGTTGTTACGAATAATGCTCCTGCAAATTCAAAATCCAAAAAAGAGTGGTTAGATTATGCGTTAAATGAAAAACTTATAAAATCAGTACCATATTCCGAGATTCAAGATATAGACGTGATTGGTCGAGGTGGATTCGCGGAGGTCTATGTAGGGTTTTGGCCAAGTGCATCAAGTCTTGTAGCATTAAAGTGCTTGAAAGTTCAACCTGGTTTTGATAATCCTAAATCGTGGGATTTATTTGTTGGGGAGGTTTGTATTTAGTCAATATGTTTATATAGATTTGTTTTTATTCGAGTTGATTTTATTTGAATATTAACGTTAATAGTTAAGACTGGTTATGTCGGTCAATCATAATGAGAGTATTATAAGATTTTTTGGAGTTAGTCGTGGTAAGTGTATTATACGAATAAATCATAGGAGTTATTTTTTTTAACATTCTCATGTGTATGCAAATTAGACGATGAGAAACAAAAAATCTATCTAGTGATGGAATACGCGAACGAGGGAAATTTACACGATTTCCTCCAAAGAAAAAAAATATCGTGGCAAGACCGCATTCGGATGGCTAATGAAATTGCTAATGGGATTTATTGCATTCATCACGAAAATATTTGCCACCGGGATTTAGTTAGTAATTATTAAATTAATTATGTAAATGGTATATATTTTTTTACTAATTTCAATCTTTTATAATTTATCTTAGCATTCCAAGAATGTACTTGTTCATAATGGGCACATGAAAATTGCAGACTATGGGCTTGGAAAAGACCTGGAAGATTCGGCAGCTGACTCGATACATGGTGGCATTCTTGCGTATACCGACCCAAACTATTTAATTAATAATACTTTTTCGCGAAAAAAACCTTCCGATATTTACGCGTACGGAGTTCTTCTCTGGGAGATTTCAAGCGGATATTACCCATTTTCTAGAGTGTTAATGAGTCAAATGGAGATACAAATTGCCATTACAAATCATAGACGAGAGGAAGTGATTCCCGGAACTCCAAAACAATATGCAGACCTTTATCAAAAATGTTGGGTTTCAGAACCGGACAAACGGCCGACAATAGAAGAAATAGTAAAAACTTTGAAATCGGATTTTTTCGAACGTATTGAAAACGCTATACCATCACCAATCCCTAATGTTGTTATTTCCGCTGTTGAAGCTGAAAGTAATTCAGAACAATCAAATCCCAACAACACATGTATCACAGCAAGTCAGTATTTTTTTGTTTTTCGAATTTCGAAATTTTAATATTTGTTAAAAAAAATTAAAATGTTCATTATTCAGCTCAAACTTTTCATACCGTATCTGAGAATCATTATGAGGTATCCGCGAGTAATGTGAATCAAATATACGAAACTCCCGATTTGATGAGCGGATTTGTATGTTTGTATTTGATATCGTTGTGTGCTGCTATCTACGAAATTAATATGGTTTACATTAATTTAGCTTCAACTTCAAAACATGAAAACTATCTGCAAAGAGATATGTTTCAAATATAAGCAAGCTCTCAAGAGAGCAACCATTCCATCCGAGTGCAGTCCAGTTTATCATTGTGCCCTTGGAGATACAGCGGGTCTAAAATGGCATCTGAATAACGCTAATTGTACAGATGCAGGACGTCATTTAATTGCCACGACAGCGCAATATTGTCCTCCTTCACAAATTATTCCAATCTTTGAAACGTTATTGGAATTCAATGTCGAAATGAAATCTCAACTAGATGAAAAAAATCACACGGCTTTTCATTGGTTATCAGAAAATATTCGTCTTTTAGAGAAAAGTAATTCATCGGACAACGAAAAGAATTATTTTAGCGACGCCACTCAATGGCTGATTAACAAAGGATTAGATATAAATGCGAAAAATATTTTTGGACGGACAGCTTTATCGTGGCTTGTAGAGAAACAACAACCACAAGCCGTCAAAATCATGCTTCAATATGAGGTCAACCCAAACATAGCCGACGAAAACGGCAGCACGCCATTACATAGAGTGTTGACTTATGAATATAAAGTCAACAATGAAAGATTCAATAGGAAAAACCGTGAGGTGGTGATACTCCTCTTGGAGAAAGGAGCTCATGCGCATATTCCTATTAATCCTAGTCAACCGTCTTCAACAAGAAGTTTTCCGAATTCGTTATTCCTTGCGATATTTCGAGGTTGGCCGAATGAAATACTTCAACTACTCATTAAACATGAAGCGAACCCACTTGATTTAAAGGATGGTCAGGATGCTCTTCACTACGCAATATCAATGAAACGTACCCAAGCGGTGCATTTTCTTGTGGAGAACGTTGAAGAGTTTCGATCAGCGAATATTTCCGAAATAAAAAATAATCTAAGGAAATTGAGACATAACAGCACCCGTTCCGAAAGTATTCCTTATACTATCAATTAATATCGTTATTGCATTATTATTGTATATTAAATTAAATATATTCACTACAATTATGCACTATTCACGTTAGCGTTAGCATTCTTTAAGCATTCAAAAAAAATCTGGGCAATACATGTAATTTATTTAGATATCGATATGATTTTAGATAACGATGACTCTATTTGAATAATTTAAAATACGGTTTATTCTGCTCTAAAGTGCACTATAAATTTACAGATATTATGGAATAACTAAAACCCCGTACAAATGAATATTCGATAGTGATAGATTATAAAATTTGGAACTTGGAAAGAATTCACAGATAATTTAATCTTGTAATTATTTATTGTACCCCCCCCCCCCCGATATATATGAGATTTTTGTACGAATCATGGAAGGTATATTGCAATGGGAGTATTTCGCTCAGCGAAATACGATGAGGGGAGTGACAAATATCCCTCTTCTGAGATTTCACTTAACGCTAATCATTGATATCACCAAAAAGCGAACTTCTTTATCGATATTTTAATCTTAAATTTACTTTATTATTATGTGTATTTAGCGTTAGAGTATGCGATAATGTCATTTTTGTTACTTACTTGATTCTATCGAAATTTGTCGTTTATTTGCTATGTTATCGTATTACGCATTCGTTGATAGTATTGTTAAATTAAACAAAATTGAAATTAAATGTCTTGATTCATTCTCGAGAGTTATAACCACAGCGCTTGCTTGACTTTGAACCCAACACGCGTCATAATCCCAGTGTTTTTTGTAGCCTCTGCCAAACTAGAAAAAAAGTAAATTTGTTAATTACTTAGTTGAAGAAATCCAGAGAAGTAATAAATCGTGAATGAATACCTAATAATTGGTTTCTCAAGAATAATTAGGTTATCACTGTTTCCAATATCACGACATGCACTAACGATGTTCTCAACAACTTCGTTGACAACTTGCTTTGACGTGATCTCATTAGTTCCTTTTAACAGATCTGATCCAGCACCAGCGTAAAACTTTGTTGCTTCACCAGCCAAATTGCTGCGGAAAGCTTTGAACGCGGTAAATCGTATTTCGGTTGCTTCATCTTGATTTTGTTTAGTATCGTTTGCAGAAAGAGCAACATCGGAATTACGAATGCTTCCTGAATTCACACGTCCCGATTCACCAACTGCTCGATAATAAACTATGAATCCATAGTTATCTTCGGGTGAAGTGCATGATGGATGTAAAGTAGATAATATGTACTCTCCTAATATGATTCAATTGAATGAGCAAGATTGTGCAAATTCTGTGATTAATGCAACTTAATTTATACCGATACCTTTCTCCAAATTTGTAATATCACCCAATCCTATCCGTTTGAATTGCATTACTTTATCAAGACGATAATGAAAAGTACATATATACAATGCTTTGCTCGTAAGGAGAACAACTTTTTCTTCGTATGCTTTGCTTCGCCTAAAATTTAAACACATAAATAAATTTATAGACGATATTATTATCTTCAACAGAACAAACACTCTTACTTTGTATTTGACTCGACTGGTGATAAAAACGTCCACCCATTTAATTTAGTCTCGTTGTCGACTATCACAATTTCACTGGTAGTCTCGACTTGATTGATAAATATTTTATTAAGTTCTCAAGTCGCAATCATAACGACATATGTCAGATGTCTACTGACCTGCGGCCGCTCGAACTTTTGCCCAACGATCAGCATCACCAGGGTCAGATACTTCAAATTTTTGTTGAAGTTCGAGAAATACGTCAATATTTCGGTTTCCCAAAATATAATCGACGGTCGCCTAATAGATATTTCATGATTAACATGAAAATGCAGTAAAGAGCAACTGCTGAAATTCAAACCTGTCTTAAGGAATCTTTAAACGTATTCTGATATATTCGAGCTAAAGAATTAGACGCGTCATTGACAAGTCCTTGTAGATTTCGCTTTCCTTAAATTGAAAAGAAGTAATGATGAGACTTTAAGAAAGCGACGTATTAAAGTTAAACCATTATTTCGTAAGCAACTAACCAGTCCTGTAGCAGATATTTTAGTAGATTTTGTAGTAGTTAATAATTTATATTTCACTTGTAATTACAGTCGAATATTTACCTAGTAAAATCGCCTTTTAATGCACTAGTTCCGGCATATTCACGACTAATAGAATCACCATTATTAGCCCAAACTGTAGAAGAAGAAATAAAAAATTAGTTATAAAAACTAGGGAAAAAAATGAGAAAGCTATCATTATGTTAACCATGGTTGAAAATATTTTCGAAATTTTCGTAGTGTGCAATGCCATTATCCAGAAAGTCAGCGATTCCAAGTCGTAAAAGCTGAAGCGTTAAAATTTGTCGGCCTAATGCACTCTGATGAATTTTAATAATTGTTAGGAAACAGAAACGTTTATAGAATTTGAACGATAAGGCGTACCTGGACGACATTCGTACGATCTAAACAATCGATGCAATTCTGAAATAGAATAACAAAAAACGCCTTATCGTTATCAATTGCGAAATTAAAAACAATTTGACCCATTACATTTATCATACCGTACGAAATATTCCTTTCTGTTTGAGATGCACATGCTTGTCTCCATCTCTCCAGAAGTATCTATTAACGTTAAGATCCAGCATTAGAATCAAAATAACTTGCTTGTCACGATAATACGAAAAATGTATTAATTACCCAATAGAATTAAAGTTACTATCCAGACTATTAACAAGCTTTGAAATATTTTCATATTTCATTCCTTTACATTCCTTGTGAAAATCGAATTCCACGTATCTATAAGTTAACGAAATTCATTAAATCAAAGAACCTTTTATATCAAGGCTCACAATTTAATTGATACGTACTGGACATTATCAAAAGCAAGCTCCACAATCGCCTCTCGGTATGCGCTACCGACGACTAATTCTGGGCCATTTAACTCGGCTAGATTTATTGAAACGATGGATCCATAGTTCTCAGTCAAGTATTCAAAATGTTTCTGGATGGCTTTCTGGTTCTCTTCTTCCGTTCTTTCCAATACTGGTTTGGGCCTTAAGCTGTTTCCAGATTGTGACCAAAATAATGGAACTTTGGGATGAAGAAAATGTTATAATATGAATGTGAAAAGCAAAATATTCTGAGTAAACAAAACAATCAACTACTAACTTGATCCCCGTATTTGAAGAAATGACACGAGATGAGTGGTATCTCCTATCTTTAAATAAATTAGCACAATAACGATAATGCTACATAGACTATATTTTCATGGTAAATCTTGTAGATAAAATACCGGCATAGAGATAATTTGTTCGGTCTCGACAAAATTCGCAACTTTCCCAAATTCATTTAGTCCTCTTCTTTGATATCTTAATCCTTTTATTTTATTGAAAAAAAAAATATTACTATAAATACAAATATAATCCGAGCCAAATTTAGATTTACCTGCTCGTTCTCGACTTCGACGTGATATTAACATAAAATCGAAACTTTGATTTTCAATTTCACAATTTTCAATTTGAACATATCCTTGCATTATCGGCAAAACCCACGAGTGTAGCTAACAATTACGTAAATGATATTTAGTGGATCAAACGTTTCATTTAAAAATATTCGATATTTACATACTTCTTGTTTTATCAAAGACTCGGATAAATGCTCATTCCACCAGAATCTCTTATCCACCTACTCGATAAATCTTCAATTATGATCAATATTTTCATTACTAATAACTCAACGAAATCACTCACAAACCTGACCTGTTGCCATAATGGTTTATTTGGCGAGTCTTCCTTTCGCTGCAGAGATGTAGTAAGATCTATAAGAAAGTTCAGAAAATTTAAGCATTTTTTCGTAAATACAGAGGGAAATCAGAAAAAACTTACCAAATTCATAAGAAAAGAAAAACGCATTGGATCTAAAAAGTGCAGCGATTTCCTTTATTATTCTGCCTTCCAAACCTTTTTCCTAGAGATTGCTTTAATTGATCACTATGTTTAAAATCTTGAATAATAACGCATATGCACCGCAAACCTTTTCACTGATAAGTGGTGGTGGTGGTGGATTAGAAATTTCTCGAGCGCTTGCTACAAAATCAGTTTTTAACTCGTCCCAAACTACTGAAAGTCTTTTAGTGATTCCAGACGCAACCGAAGGATTCGAAGGATTTTCGATAGTATGATTGCCCTCTATCGATACTGGACTCATGACTTCATCTGAATTTATAGATGAAATTTCCGTTTCAACCTCATGTTCAGCTATCTCTTCAGGATCAGAAACGAATGTCGGCGAAGGAGATGTTCGTTTCTTTCCGATTTCACTTAATGCTGTCTTCATTTTATTAAATAATGCACCGACAGGTTTCTTTCCAGCGGGAATTGGTATTGATAGAAAACGATTAGGCGGTGACACAGGGGAAGGAGGTGTTTTAGAAATTTGACTAGCATCTGCTTCTGTAAACATTTCATTGTCTCCATCTTCTGAACCAAATTGAATATGTCGCGGATTACTAGGTGGATTGTTATTGGCGTCATCACTTTCAGGCAGGGAAATATTTGATCCTTCGATTAATTCTTCTGATTCTTTAAACAATTGATATTCATTTATCTGTGTTGAAGTCAAATAATTTATTAAACAGATTTTTATAATTTTAAATTTAAATCATGAGGTCCTCACTTGTTCTTCCATTATTAAGCATGCTCGCTCAAATTGAAATGGTAATATTGCTATTCTTTTCACCATAAAAATATCTTTTCCCTGAATTTGTCCAAGCAATTGTGCTGTAGTAATAATGATCAAATATGCTCCTGTATATTTTACGAGCAAAAAAATACCATCAATTACTTGGTTAAGCGTTTAAAATGAAATTGAAAGACTTACCTGAAAGCAATTTAACAAAGCCAACAACACCCCAAACATCATAATGTCTTGCGATCGGAGAGGGCTCGTGTTTTGCTATATCATAAACAGAAAACGAATTTTAAGCAAAAAAAAAAAAAAACTCAAAAATGACTTCAACCAAATAATCACATTTCTTTTCGACTTTCCCAGTCTCATACGATACTTCTAAGATTTCATTTCCGGCGATCAAAACAAATCTATCTGTGTCAATCGAGAGAGTTATTTTCTGGTGAATGATTGACTGAGATGATGGATCTTTATCAATCATTTTTCTGCCTTTGGAGAGAGTAAATGTTAAATTGCCGAAAATGGATAACTACGTACGTATTACGTACTAATATTGATACATGTAACGGTAATATTTGTTAACATTAAAAACCATTTTACGTTTACACCAGATTACGTAAATGGTAATGATTTTATCGTTCTTGTTATAAAGAGTGGAAGTATTGTTTGCAGACTAACGCTAAGTATTAGTATGTACCGGTACCGTACTAGCGCTAGTGCGTACATTAAAACTGATTAAGACTAAAAGATTTACATTTACTAACGCTAACGCTAATAAATGTATTGTAATTGACACAAATTATAACGTTATCGTTACATCCTAAAAGTGACAGATTCATCAATTTTTCATTAGAAATTGATCGCCAAAAAAATGAATCGGTAAATTTTTTGTTAATGTCTAGTCGAATAGTAGTATTTTTTTTTGTTCAAATTGGATCACTGGATGTCAAGATGAAAGTTTATGAACATACAATATCCGATAGAAGCTCTACCAATCTATAAATGTACAAACGATCAGGTGTCGTATTACATTTTACGCCAGAAAATTTGGGTGATCGTTATAATTTTGGGCAATGCCGGACGTTCGGATACTTATGGTCGCTACTGTACATTCCTTACCAGCTTTAATTGCCTACCGAAGAATACAACATAGCACGAATCCTTCTCCCTCACATACGGCCGAAAAGTGAGAATACTGATAGACATATATTTTAGAGAACACAGTTAATGGATCGAGTGATCACTGGTATAGCGACTACCAGATCAAATATTGGAAAACGATACAATCAATTGAAGGATTAAATGACGAAATCGAAAATGATTACATAAATCTAACAGCAAATGCATATTTTTTCATAGTGACCCACGTAATTTTTGATAAGTCCTATACATAATTTAGTAATATCGATATAATTTCTTTCAGCTGGTCTACTGAGTTACCCATTCGACAACCGAGTATCTGGCCTCTCCTCACTGAGTATCAGTGATGGTAAATGACTTTAAAAGGTCGAATGACATAACTGGTCACTTCAAGTAATCTCACAATCTTCTTTATCCAATAAAATTAAAATTAAACTTTTTGACGTAATTATAAAATGACTCACTGAAATTCTATTAGTTGAAAAATAAATAACATGATAAATGACCTAACTACCTAGATCATTTCGATGTTTTGAGGTCATTTACAAAATGAGCAAATGACATGGTCATTTACCATCACTGCTGAGTATGGACTACTACGACTCTGACTAATTAAATCCTAGTACTCGTTCATAGACTGAGTATCTGGTTCCCTACTAAGAACTGTTCGACAGCCATATTCCAAAATATGTAATGGGGGGAGGGAGAGGGAAGAGTACTTCACAATAAAAGGGGGGGGGGGAGTAAGAGGAGGAGATATATATAATCATTAATAAATATCTAAATAAAATACTACTTAACCTTCAAATACTTCGATATGTCTCGAGAATGATAGCATTTATTTTCATACATGTATTTGGTATTGCTCATCACAATTAGTAGATCTACAAATTACATGTATTATTAAAAATATTGGGATCCTATTCCTGTCCTGCTGATGAATTTGGAGTCTTTGTACACTCGTACTATTCAGGAAGTATTAGGGAACCGATTGCTTTGCATTTTTAAAATACTCTTTAACTTCATATTCTAAACTGTCTTTGCAGAAACCAATAGAATGGATAAAATTGCCAAAAAGTATACACGATTTTATTAGTATACCATATGTGAATCATATGAATCAAAGAAAACGTGATGCTTTTTTAATCTTACACAATATCGATACATTGTTACAGTTGCGTTAGATTTTTCTCAAGACTCATGTCTGAGAAAATCTTATATAAAACAATTGTTAATATCGATTGGTTGTCTTTTCTTCTTCCTTCTTGTCTTCTTTCCTTCGTCATCGTCATCTTATTTTTTTGTTCGTCGTCTTCCTTAATTATCTTTTTCATTTACTTCCTTCATTGTCTTCCTCCATGATTGATTTCTTTTTATGGCATAGTTTGGTAGCCATCCTTAGTCCATTATTCCGTTATCCGATCTAATTTGGAAATGTTCTTTCGATCCCGATAGATTATAACTGTCGCATTGACTGTCCTTTGTTGTCTGGGTGAAAGGTAACGTTTTTATCAGGTCAGGCTAATCGATCAATTTATCCAGCTATTTAGTCTGTGAAATTGTCTATAGTCGCCCTGGGCCATTAGCTTGTTTGTTTCTTTTGCCTTTTTACCATATGACGATGACGGATAATTTTATTTTTCCATTTTCGATTTTCACTGCATCGCTCTACGCCGTGTTCTTATTAATGTGGATTCCTCTGTTAGAGGATTTCCTATTATTAGTCACAAAAAAAAACGTTTTTACATAACTACCCTGCTCAATATAAGAACCGCGGCCAACTTATCCAACTTCTCAACCCCTGGTCAAATTAAACCGTCTGGAACCAACTTTGGAATCACGCATTTTCAATGGTAGTGAAAATCATCGGGATCGATTCTTCAATTCTTTCGCAGAATCAAATCTCAAAATGATTCAAGAAAAAGAATAATAAATCAATCAATTTATTATTACGAGATGATTGTGATGGATTTAAGAGTATAGCACCGTATTTTGCCGTGTATAAGCAACACCCCTGTAAAATTATTTTTCTGCAAAATGAACAAACTACAATTTCATTAAATTTTTGTTAACAATAAGGTTAAATGTATCATATCTTGCCGTATAAGAAACTCCCCTATAGAAATCTAAACCTAAATTTAACCTCAAAGTTATTAATTTAGCAACAAAAATTTTAATGAAATTGTACTGTGAGTCATGTTCATTTGCAGAAAAATAACGATGATTGGTTTTTCTAAACTAAATTTCATTTTTCAGGGTGTTGCTTATACACGGCAAAATAAGGTAAATTGTTGCCATTCGCAAAAGGTTGCAATCCATTTCAATGGAATTCACTTTATGAAAGCTATACGCGTGTTAAATAACTTTCTATTCACACTGTCACTGGAGTTCTGAGCAATCTAAAAAAAGACGGAGTGTGGTGCTTTGCAAATTATGGACCGAAAAAATAAGATTTGAATTTTCCACAGGGGAAAAAATATTATTGCCTACTCACTGGTAGCATAATCTATTTTTGAGGAACTTAAGTATTTGGTTCATTTACAGTATAAACTCTAATATAATTTGCTTTAAATCACGTAATGATTTCAACACAACTTCTTCCTTATGATCCCATTGATCTCATTCGTAAATTAATCCAAAACCTTTTGCAATTGCTAAATGGATGAAAGCAAAATGTAATATTAATATCCATTCTAACTATTGAACGGTTACTAAAGTGAAAAAATAATCTTATAGGAGGTCCATCAATTAAAAGATTATGAACTGCCCAATATCTTGACCTTAAAAATGCAACGTATAAATGGATTTTACGATACATTAACAGATACGATACTAACAGGAAAGATTAAACAGCATGGCGAAGATGAATTGGCTAATCATATTGCCACTGCTGCTGCAATCTCTAAATCAAAAAACTTGTTGCATTTGACATATGTCATGACTATATCAATTTATAACTCTTTTTGGTTTCATTATTATCATGAAATCGCATTTGATCGAGTATGATTTTGCAGAAAAAAACAACCAACAATAGTGAAAGCCATTGCCAACTTGAACTTTGGACTTTACATGGATGGAGAGTCTTTATACATACTTGAAAAAAACAACAAGACTCAGTGATAGGTAGGTGTGCTTATACTGTTATATAGTGAGTTTTATTTTAATAATTACATATTAGAAGACAACTGTGCAATCATTATCAAAGAATCTATATGATATAAAATTATCAGCTAATTGAGATGTCGTTTATCTAAGACAGGGCAAAAACAAATATCCTTATGGTTAATCGAAAGCATTTTCGATAAATTAAGCATCGTATCTTCTAGCGACCGTAAACTTCTCATTGCTAGATACAGTTAAAGCTGGATAATATTAACTTTAGCAATAAATCCTTATTTCCCTTTTGTCATGTACCCTAGCAAAATTGTATGTGGTACCTCTCTAAGGACCCCCTTTGGGACCATATTAAAAAAAGACAGTGTATAGAGGTTGCATTTAGGAAGGTTTCGCCGTATTTTTCATAACAGCATTAATTAGCATTAAGTCCAAAAATGATTTAAAATATTCAGATTTACACAAAATAAACTTTTTAATGCTCGTTAGTATTAGTTTGCATTTGATTATCATAACGACGTCTCGCGTATGACTACTAGTACCCTAGCCACGGCGAAGAAAAAGTGTCGGTCACGTGATGGTGATCAAATCCAACCAATAAGAATGCGCGAAAATTCAGCGCAACCAATAGGAGTGTAGCAAATTTTTGATCAACCCGGCAAAATAAGTCCGACACAAGAAAATAAAAGACAAAATGCGAAAAATACAAAAAATAGATATCAAAATCTAGCTTGGCACACTATCAAAAAATGTTGGGAAGACAATTTTATATATAATCTTGATCTCAGCTCTTACCTTAACCCTAATACTTGATATCTAATATTAATCGGATATTTTAATGGACTTATTTCATATCACGTGACCAACACTTTTTTTCGCCGTGGCTAGGGTATTATTTGACTACAAAGGAACAGTGATGGCAAATTACAATATTAACAATAGCAAGTATTAAAGTAATTAGAAGATAAAAGCAAAATACTAAGTTTAATGTTTACTAATTGTATATGTTAATTGGATGTAGCAAACGTACCTGTACGTGATAAACAAAAATTAGTATAAAGTGTATATTACTAATTGCTAGGATTATATAAGACTATAAATAGAAAGAATAACTTTATGAGCAAAATAAATAAATTTTGATAAAATTAATGGGTGATCGTGTATCAACAAAAAGAATGTTCTAATGGTGAACTATTTTGCTATGAATTTGTAGTTTTTCTTGTGAGATCCTCGAAGTATCTTCATTCTCTTCGATTACATGTGGTATATCGAAATCTGTTTTGCATCACCAAAAGAAAAATAGCAATGAATTAATGAAGTCAATTAAAAAATACTATTAAATATAATTTCACCTTCGTTTGGAACAAACAAACAGACACTTGACATTCCTAGACATTCGATATGAATTTTAATTAATATGAAATGTCAATGTGATTTATATTTAGAAATAAAAATACCTGTGTCAGTTGGAATTGAAATTAATTTTGTGGTAAAGATTCGACTTGTGTAAACTGCATTTGCGTGGAGTTGTTGTGTGTTGTTTATAAGAATGTATTTCTGCAATTCCATCTCTTTATCAAGTTCTCTCCATTTTTCCCTTTCGGATTTAAGACACTTTTTGATTTCTTTATGTGTTTTAGGATAGTTTAAAGAGCTGTAGTGCTGGAAATGCAAAGTATTCAGTTTGGTTCTGTGTCTAAGAGAGTAAATAAATCCTTCAAGTTCTAAAGTAGTTGGTCTGTTTTCAGGAATAGGATCCCAACATTTCTCAATAATAAATTTGCACCATCCGGGAACATTGTTTGGTATCTTAGGGCGTACTCCATTATATATGTCGTAAACAAGGTGTATATCATGACTTCGTTCACCAAATGGTCGTTCACCTGTTGCAATCTCGTACACAACCATCCCAAAACTATAAATATCTGCAGCTTTAGTGTATAGCTTTCCATTTAGTACCTCTGGACTCATATAAGGAAGTACTCCGCAAATTTGTTGAGTAGTTTCATTTAAATTAACTGGGCTGGTAAGTCCAAAATCAGCAATGAGAGCAAATTTAGTAATCCATTTTTCCATTATTAATATATTTCCAGGGTGAAAGTCACGGTGCACAAATCCCTCTTTGTGAATTTTACGCAGACCAGAGATAACATGATCTAAATAGTGTAATTTTTGTCTCCAATTCATTTCTTTGTAGTTAAACTTCATATATTTGCGAAGATCGCCATCTTTCGCATATTCCATTACTACCGAGTATTCATTAGTAGCTGGGTTTTTAGTTATTCCATAATAATTGAAATAACCCCTGATGCACTTTAGAGCAGTCTTAATCTATTTTTGAAAAACTTGATTGTATTAGAAAACAAAAAGCATCTTGTCTTTACTTTAGAAATCGGATGTTTTTTACCTCGTTTATAAACTCTAATGTAATTTGCTTTGTATTGTGTAATGTTTTCAACACAACTTTCCCTTTACGTTTATTCGATGGTTTAAATTTATTTTCTTTATGATCCCACCCCATTGGTTTCCCCAGCAAGGTTGCTTTATAAATTGATCCAAATCCTCCTTTCGCAAGATACTCAACTTTGGTAAATCTTTCAAAAGGGATCCATTCAAAATATGTATATTTACTAACTTTATTGCATTCTTTTATTAGACATTTGATATCTTTAGACCATTCAATTCGTATGTGATAATTAAAACATCCAGAGCAATACTTGTTTTTTTGACAACTGGTACATTTACTACAATCGTGAGTATTATGAACTAAACACTTATAGCAGTAATTCAGTAATCGGCACTTATAACATACACTACAATAATGCATATTCGAAATATTAGACCGAGTTCACTTTTAAAATGGATTTCGTGATTACTTGCAGTGTTTCATTTAAAACTTTGAAATGATGGCGGTTTATATGCGTAAAAAACCGGACCGGAATTTCCGTTTGTGTCGTAAATTTAATACATGTACGTACGTACGTACGTACATTGTACATGTATTATTGCATCAAATATTTTGCGTTTAATTCGAAGTTTACTCAAACCAATCAAATTTTTGTTCATTTGAAATTTTTCATAAGATTGCATTTACGTACAGGTATAACGTTAATTTTATGGGACAGATATACGTACAGTGGCCGTCATATGTTTTGCATCACGTAAATGAAAAAATTAATAATGGTAATATCTCGTAATTTTACACGTTATTGACATGTGCAAATAAAAGGGAAACTAGAAGTTCCTTAAAATTCATTTAACGATAGCGATAGATGATCTATGTTTGTGTTGTTCTTTGTGTTCGAAATTACATATAATCTATGGAAAGTTAGAGGGGGAGGATACTTTTGACCGGACTAGCAGATAATGAGCAGTTTACCAAGACAACTATAACCAAAAGGTAATCACCTCGTACGTTGTTTCGGAATCCACGTCAATTCCGAAATGACGTACATCGTTTCAAATTCGAAATTAACGTTAACGTACGTCGTTTTGGAATTCTAAAATGATGTACCAGTCAAACGATCCGTGATCGATGTGGATGTACATTTTCATCAACTCCCAAATCTCCGCGGATGGTTCCTGGCAAAGAAGCCAAAGGATCTATTTCATCCAAGAGCTTTCGAGCATAAGCAATAATCCCCTTTCCTGCCAAACCATCATAATTACCAGCTCCGAAAGCATAAATTTAATCAATCCAGGAAAAAGATCCTTTTTAGTTTGGAATAAAGTTTTTCTAATAATTGACGGTTTGGGGCAAGCATCTGACAAGCGATAATCTGAAATCCTTTTCTTTCCAAGCATTGAATAACTTCTCCAACCAATCTCCTTTTCACTCCATCTGGCTTAATCATAATAAAGGTTCTCTCTTCTGGAGTAATCCTTTGGCGTCCCATTATACTAAGATCACATCAAGATTATACTGTATTTTTTAGCTGTTTTTGATTTGAGATCCTATCGCGGTGAAATTCAAGACTAATTTGTTTACATTATTATCATTTAATAATAATGTGTGAGGTATGATGAAGACAAAAATGAAAATGAAGGTGAATATGACTACGACGAGATGAACAGCCAAAATATGAAGCAGCATATAACAATAAGAATAATAGACTCACTTTCTTTGGTTTAAAAAATAAACATCATATACTTTATTGAAAGTCATAATCTGATATCGATATAATGATAATAATAAGACAGTATCAGTATCGGTATACTTTACTAATTTAGTCATGGCACCAATTCAGTCACGCACAAGTTCAAATCTGCCATATTTCACCAACAATCAGACTGTGACAACGAATAGAACTGCTACTGCAATTTTGACCAATTAATAGATTCTGTTTAATGATTTCTATTTATTACCTTTAAGATGAATGATGATATATTGTCACAAACAACACAAAGTGCAGATGCGGATGCGGATGCTTGACCTGATGTGTTGTTCTTTTTGGTTTGCCATTGACGAAACAGCTGATGAAGTGAACCAAGCTAAACATTGATATTTGCTCTCTTTCTAAGTAGTGAGGTGAAAAGGCTGATGAGCATATTCAGAAATGTTGGTATAATTATCTAGTTGAGGATGAAATGGTTGAGTATTGCTCTCTTTTAGATTAGTCTGATGAGAAAAACTAATACAAATTCAGAATGTTTGGTATATTATTCTTTATTTATATTCAAATAGAAATTAATTACTGTACTGTTACAGTAGTTGTCATAAGTATCCAGAATTTAGTTTTTTAGATACAACTTCACGAAAATTCATTTAAAACACATAAAATTATATATATATAATATAGTATGGGAAACAAATTTATCTAATCTTACAAATACACTTAAATTAATAAAATTTTGCATAAATTTATGCTAAAAATTGCGAGTTGGAACACTTAAAATTAAGGAGAATAATAAGATTCTAAAAAAATATTTTCACTAATCAATTTTGCAAATATTTTTAAGAAACATATTTTCATATCTTAAAGAATATATTTATAATTTTTCAATTGAATTTATTTCATCATTATTTCATAATGATCAATTAAAAAAAGATATAATTTTGCTAAATTTCTTAATAAATCATAGTAAAAATTGATTTTTTTATTTTTCTATGATTTATTAAGAATTTAGCAAAATTATACCTTTTTTTTTAATTGATTATTATGAAATAAGATATGAAAATACGTTTTTTAAAAATATTTTCAAAATTGATTATTGAAAATATTTTTTTAGAATCTTGTTATCCTTCTTAATTTTTAAATATTCCAATTCACAATTTTTAGCATAAATTTATGCAAAATTTTATTAATTAAGTGTATTTGTAATATTAAATTAACTAGTTTCTCATAATATATATATAATTTTATATATTTTAAATAAATTTTTATGAAGTTGTATCTAAAAAACTAAATTCTGAATATTTATAATAATTATTATATCAATATATATATTATTATATAAAATATTAATTTGAATTAACATTAACTAAATTTTTCTTATTAAGTTAGGAGAATAATACAAAAATTGTTGTAATCTTTTATATAAAATCATTATTTTTTATATTATTTTTTCATATTATCTTTTTACATTATTTTTTCATTATGTGTGACAAAAATAATAATGATAGTAATAATAAAAATTCTAATATGCAAACTATAATAAGGTAAATCATATTAAAATTCTTAAAAATATGAGAATTAACAAGATCTTTTTAATTATACTATTCAAATTATAAAGTATTATTTATATCTCAAAATACTTTTAATCAAATAATTATAATTTTTATGGAAAAATACAAGAATAAAAAGGGTATTATATAATTAGAAAAATATTAGAAATATATTAAAATTCTCAAAAATTCAAATATCAAAGCTAATAATGCAAAATTAAAATTTGAATAAAAGAAAATTTTGTTTTAATTAAAATCGATAAATTATTTATATTGAATTTAAAATCTAAAGACAACCAAGTTATTCTATTTAAAGATTAATATAATATATTTTGTTAAATATATTAGAAATATGAATATGAAAAATAGAATACAATCTGAAAATATATATTTTAATTTATATTTATATTTTAATAACCAGCACATAAAATTAAGTAATATAATAGCTTAAAAATTAATGCACCAAAATTAATTATAAATATAAAATATTATTAGTTACATTAATACTATTGTTAAGATAGCTCTTCTATTTGCATGTATTTATTTTATGTACTTAAACTTCTGTTTAAAAAAAGGAGAGACTCCTGCTGTCCAGTACGCTTTCCTGGTTGAGATTGATAGGGAGAAGACGGTTGGTCACCTCAAGAATATTATAAAGGCAGAGAAGACACCAGAGTTTGATAGTTTCAACGCCAATACACTCAGACTTTGGAAGGTAGAAATTCCAAGCGATCGTGACGACATTATTCAAAATCAAACCTTGCAAGAAAGCGATGAGCTACTGACGATAAATGATATCGGAGATTACTGGACTGACACACCACCAAAAAGGCATATTCATATCATCATAAATTTGCCACGTAACTGCTGAGCACATAATATGCAAATTTTTGCATATCTCAGTGATATTTATTCAAGCACACGCGTCTTGATTTTAAAGTTCTCAGTCTAGAAGAGGCATTGTCGTGTGTTATGCCACCTATTACATGTTCTCCGAGAATAACTAAATCAAAGACTACTATGAAGGTAGACTGTTCTAATCCGCCAAAAGAAGTACTGCTTTGGCACACATTTTTTGAGGAGGTGAATCAGTTCGACTTCGATCAACGGCCGGAATTCCAAGAATCACAATTCAAAAGACCACAATTTTTTGATTTTGTCCGTTTGTTCATTGAAGAGGAAGTTCGCTACACTTTCATGACCAATGTTTGTATAGTATTAAATGGGCTTATGAAGTCAGACTATAAATTTTCGAGACGGCCAACTTGTACCTCAGGCATACCAGATTTCAATGGCCACTATATAAACAAGTTGATCTTGACGATTGAGATGAAGAGGGAACTCGTTTTAAAAGGGATTGGTGAGGCAACATTTCCAGAATTTTATAACGAGAATAACACAGCAAAGATGGTAATTCAACAGGTATATAACTATATGACTGAAAATCAACTTCAATACAGTATACTCTCCACCTATGAACATCACCGACCGAAGGAGACTCCATCAAGGCTTTTGATTTAAAAAACTCTCTCATCGCAGTCAGAACCTCCAACGGTACTCAAGGCTTATGCATATATAGCTTTGCGAGCAAGACCTGATCACATTTCTCCTCACCCTGATGCAATTTTGGTCCCAGTCAATAAATAGTTGGGCGTTGGGAATAATACAAAGAATTCTTCCAACAATAACTCGAACTCGAATAAGTCAGCTTCCAGCACCGTACCACAAGAGCAAAATTTTAGCTTTGAGATCTTCAAGTTTAAGAGTATATTAGGCGAAGGACGAAGTGGAAAGACACTCCTATGTGAATTCTGTGGAAATACAATTGTCTTGAAGAGCACTGATCTATCGAAAACCCCACCACATATCTTGGAAGAAATGCAGAAAGAAGTCGAGATCTATAAAATTCTTGCAGACATTCAGGGAAAGTACATTTCAAAATTGATGTGTTATGGTTACTATTCAAACAGAATGAGCTTTGTTATTGGTATGACTCTTGTTGGTACTACGTTAAATGATCATAAGAAGATAACGGAATGGCAAAAGATTAAGACTCTTGAGGCACTAAAGGCAATTTACGAGCACGGCATTCTTCACAATGATATTCGAGAAGAAAATATCTTAGTTAATGACAACGGTGATATGTATGTGATTGATTTTGGGATGGCCAGTCGAGCAGACTTAAAAAAGAAGAGGAAGTTATTTCACCAGGAGCAACTTGAATTATCTCATTTGCTAAATCTGTATATTGTGTAAGAATTTCCATTATGTATTATTTATCATTTTATTTTACATTCTGTAAGAATCTTGTGATAGATTTATGACCGTGTAAATATCACGTGATTTTCATGGGTTACGAGATAGGATAGCAGAACAATCAACACTTGCTCTTGCAATTTATTTTTTATCAATAAAGAGATGACACATTATGCATGATTAGACATGACAATATTTTTCATGTGTTGGTGGGTAGTGAGGAATTACTATGCACTAATTATGGTTGCAAAGTAATCATTGTCTATTGTTCTCAAGAGAACAATAGAAAATATTGTAATTATAATTTATATCAATAATAAACTGTTTTATTTTTAATTCTTAAATATGTTCATTAACAAAAATGGTTTATTATTTTTAAATTCAACACTATCGAGAAAAAAAGGAAAAGAACTCATTGATTCGCAAAAATTAATTGAATCACTTCAGAAAGAAAATAGTTCTCTGTGCTCCTCCAATTTAACTTTGACAGCTATTATTCAGTTATATATTCAATCGAATCAAAACATTAATATTAATGAAAACACAAATACTCTATCAAATATTTCGTGATCTAACGCTATTCAAGAACTAAATTCATCTTAATTTACTAAGAAAAATACATCATTATCTTCCATTTCTTCATTAAATCAAGGACTAAATATACTTTATTGTTATGATTCAATTTTTACTATTGATGAAAACACGCCTAAATAAACTTTAAATACTTCTTTATCTTTTGTTCCACTGAATCAAGAAATTAATATCTCATCAAACAAAGAACTAAATACTTCAACTTATAATATAGATTTTACTATTAATAGAAACACACCTCTTATAACTCCATTCTCTTTTGTTTCTCCACTGAATCAAGAATTAATATTTCGTCATCTAATCAAGTACTAAATAATTTAACTTAAAGCTTTTACTATTAATGGAAAACTCATTAATTACCAAATCAAGACCTTATAATACAGCTTACAACTTCATTAACTTCTATTTCTTCACCGAACCAAGAGAATAAGGTCTCGTCATTTAATCTAGTACGAAATAATTCATCTTATAATACAGCTTTAATAGAGATATCTCTTCCAACTCCATTATTTTCTGTTTCTGATCAAATTAAAAGATTAATATTTCGTCATCTATTAATAGAAACACCTCTGTCACGTCACTTTAGATTTAAATAATAATCTCTTTCACTTAATTATATAATCTACCCATATTTATTTATAATTTATAATACATGCTTATTCTTTATTTTTGCATTGGTTTAATGATAGTTTTGGATATGCAATCTTCACAAGATTTGTTGTAGTTTTTATGCGTATTTCAATTTTTCCACTGTATTATGATGAAATACAAGTATTAATGCACATTTTTCTGCATACTATTTTATAGGAGTCTTGAATCATTCATCCCCTATTATATTATTACCTCCCTCCAGTTACACTTTATATCCTACGTAACGAATGAAAAAAATAATCGGCAAAATATGTTTCTAATAGAAACGTTCAGGAAAAAATCAATCCGAGTGAAAAAATAACGATCGATATCGATATATGCAAAATGACTCTGTATATATCGTTAACTGTCACACAAAGAGACAAATTACATATCCGGGGGGTTATGTAACATTTCGTTTCCTATTGTTGATTTGTAGTTTGGGTAAGTGGCTATTTATCTTTGTTAGATGTCTTAACGATGGAAATTAATTATAGCTACGTATAGCAATATTAGTTATCGTTATGAATCTTGATATTTTTACTTAATAAAAATCATTGTTTTTAATAACAAATTACGTACGAGTGTTTATTTTTGTTGATGCATATACTCTCGAACAGTAATAAATATTTACGTTAATTGTTGGCTAAATATTACAAGTCTTGGAAAAAACACGAGTTCATTATAACAAAATACCCTATCCTTAAAAAAAAAATGCAACTTATCGTTATCATTATTATCGTTATCGTTATGTGATTATCCGATCATTGACGATCATCGCATAATCCCGTGATGTACCTGGATTTAACCAATCCCTAAAAATAGACAATTAACTACGTAATGGTACGTACGTAATAATAGCGATCAACATGTCACAGCTATTGCATTTTATAACGATAACGATAAGAAAATTGATCATTAACGTTAAGAATTTTACTATGAAAAACAGTGCATTTTGTCTTTTATAGTTCTAACGCTAAGAGAAGTCATCATAATAAACAAACATAAATGATATTCAATGGCAAAAACTATTTTGATATGTATTTTAGCTAAAGCTCAGAGTACATAACGGTAACTACAATGATCTGTGTTCAACTGTTATCGCTATGTTTAAAACAACACTTTATTTTTCTCTTTATTCTAAGGCGGGGGGATGGTCAAATCTCAGGTATTAATGTGTTAAATGAAATCTCAGGAGGGAGGGGGGGGGGGATCCCTATAATAAAATGGATATTTGTCACTCCTCGTATTATAACTTATATAGTCAGAATTCCGAAACTATTTGGAAACTAATATAAGCTACTTTAGGGTTTCTTTTTCAACCAATTGTACGATGATACGTCAAATTTCGTCCCATACTTAATTACACCCTGGTTTGCATCCAGGGTTTAAAGATGTGAGGACGGTCATCCCATTTTAGTTGGGTCATGTATGTAGGCTGCGTTTTCGTCGCGTTGTCAAGTATTAGGGGAATACCAACCCCTGCTATTGGTGGTTTTGGTCAGATCGGGATTCGTGAATGTGTTTTGGATTTGTCCTTGCGATATTTTATTAAAATCTCGTTTAAGAGATGTTCAAACGATAACTGAAAGTAATTCCTTGATCAATTACGAAATTAATGTGAATTTTGAAAAGGTAGAAGATTGATTTAAATTGATTAGAAAGATCGTTACATACCGCATAATAATAATAATATTAGAGTACGCATTTTTCATCGTATTTATTTAGGACCACGCGGCGTTTTCTGATTATTCTTTTATAGTAGCCGAAATGAATGATTGTATTGGGATTGTATATTTTATGATAAAAAATTTTTACTCCTGAAAACAGTAAAGAATTTTTTGCGACGGGATTTCGTTGGATATCTTCAGTAAGGTTTTGACCGAAGATTTTGCTAATAGTAAAATAGGAATGGGTGAATCTATAGCTATTAATACGTAGCGGTAGTAAGTATTGTATCACATACAAATCTCGTATTAATAAGAAAGTAAAAGGAAGTTTGTTATGGTCCAGCGCTCTTAACACAATTAAATTGTAAGTTTTCTTGACCATTTTTAACAAACCCTATAAAAAAAATAATTAAAAACAATGCTGAATGCAAACAAAACGTGGTGTTATCACATGAGTATTTGTCCCTTAGAAAAAATCATAACGATAATACGTAATATCACAGAAAAAGTTAGATTAGAGAAAGATAAATCAAATAGAAAAAACCAATTTCTTTATTTGTAGTTTTATTTTTTCTCTTTCTATTAATTTTATTTTATTTATGTAGGATGGCAGGGTGTTCAAAATTGTCATCTTCTTGGAGGTGTTTAGAGATCATTTTGAACAGCAGCAGCTTGTAAGGTGATTTGTTTAATCCAAGCCAGATATTTTGTGTTTCCTTCATCAATCTGTTTAGCGTTAGGGAAAATGACGTTATAAGAACATTTTTAATAAAGGTCGTAAGCAAAGAATGAGCTTACTTTAATTGAGATGATTCCTGGAACTTGATATGTCTGATTTTCTTTAACATAGTTGATAAGTGCCTCAACATGCCAATCTTCAGTTTTAATGACTAGTATTTGCTCTAAGGACTCAACAAATTTGGTATCTCACCCTATAAAATAAATTGATTATGCAAAATTATTGTAAAATTGAATTCGTGCTAATATTTAACAACTTACAATAAAACGAGGTAATAATATTGATAGCAGCGGCATATTTCTTTTCAAGTATTTCTTGTTACAAAATAGATTAAGTATATCTTGTTACAAATTGATTTTAATACAAAACTGGTAAATTAAAAGAAAAATAAACTTTTAGATAACTCTTTTGCCTCAGTCTCTAAAACATTAACTAGCACAACACGAGCCGTTATCGAATCTTGTTGGGACATTGCTTAATTAGTGTGTAAAACTAAAGAATAAACGAAATATATGTGTTTCGAAATATTGTTGAATGTCCTTTTGTTAATTTTATTTTATATTAACAAATAATTAAACTGATTTAATGTATCTTATCGTAACATGTATTATTTTATTTAATAATACTGGTGGTCTTGCGAACAAAACAAACTTGGTGAATCTTTTTATCTATTAATACATATCGGTATTATATTTGCGAATTGAAATGAGTTTAAATTGAATAAACTAAATTATAGATGTCTTATGATACGATGTACATGTATTATACCTTATTTGTATTTAATCCTATCCTATCTTATCGCAATATGTATTATTTTATTTAATAAAGAGATTTGCTTTTATTAATTAATACAATTAATACATTAATATGCTAAAGTTATAAATAATGGTTATTAGTTCAATCGTTCAATCGAATAATATCATGGAACTTATTTTTGATTTTGAATTTGATAATTTATCGTTATCAGACCTGATAAAGATATTCAATGATAAATACCCATATTTCAATATTCCAATTGAAGACTTGATATCACAATCAAATAATTCTCGAGATAAAGATAAAGTCCCACGTCCACAAAACTCTTTTATATTATTTAGAAGAAATCTATTCTTATTGATTGAATGAGTTTATCATTGAATCAACTATTCCAATTGAAGTCTTGATATCAACTATTCCAATTGAAGCCTTCATATCAAAAGAGTTAACATTAAATTAAATGATTCGCAAGAGGCAACAAAGCTTTGGAAATTGATGAAGCCAGAAAGTAAACAAATATAGCAAGATCTAGCGGAAATTGCAAAAAAACATCATAGTTTGTATTTTCCAAATTACAGATATCGACCAACATTATTATCAGTGTAAAATCATTCACTGAGGATAGTAAAAAAGCAAGTTTAGGTGATAAATCAATTTCAAAACCTATATTACCTTACATTTCATCATTTAACGTTAACGCTAACCGATATCGAGATCAATCGTCTTACGAGGGTGAAATGGGGTGGAATTGAGCAAGAAACGGTTATATTTTTTAGCATAATAGATAACGTGCAAAAAAAAGGCAGAACCATCCCTTTATCTGTTATTTTTTCATTTCCGTTAGGTGTATCGATTTTTATTATAAATGTTAAAATCGAATTTGTTTAAGAGTCGCTTGATATAGTAAATATCTGTGCCTACACATATGAACTTTACTATATCAAGCGACTTTTGATATAGTAAATCCCTCGATATAGTAAAGAAAAGGTCATGAACGGATGCCTTTACTATAACGAGAGCCACTTGTATCTATCAATTTAATCCAACCATTTATTAAATATCCAGATCTTTGCATAGAAATAATAATGGTAAAATTTCTTTTATGTAAGATAACGTTCACAGGCAAAGCCATTTGTACTGTATACCCGTAAAATTTTCTACAAAAGAGGTTTACAATGAAAAAAATTCATGACAGAAGTATTTATGTGATCAACTTATTATATCAACTCAATTGATCTTTAGAGGATGAATTTACCATTTATCAATTACAGAGTAATTACATCATCATTAGCATCGTATGTTTTCTCTATTTGAAAGAAGCTCCTTTTATAACAATCCTTTGACTATACTAATTACATTTTTCATAGTGTGTTAGCACAACAAAAATATTATTCAGTCAATTAAAAATAATAAAAATATAATATTTTCATTTTTATAAATACAAATAACGATACAGAACATTGATCGATAAAAAATAGATTATTGAAACTGTAATTATTATATTGACAGAAACATTGAATGAATCCGGAGTTAGTTGTCAATAGATTACATCTTGGCGCGAATTTACCATCTTGGCGCGTAATTACAACAGTACGAATGGAATAGTTTTAGTTTATCTTTACAAGTACATTCGTAAGTCACGCCATTGACTGTAACATTGTAAACAACATTATCACCAGAGCTATCACCCCATGGTTCGGGTATTGGTTCAGGCCTTGGATTGGGGAATTGCGTCGGATAAAGCGAAGAGACAGATTGCGAGAATTAAAGCGACGAAGAGTTTTTGAATGACATGATGTTTTTATTCGAGTTTCTTATTAATTTTCGAATTTTTGATTATTAATTGATGTATAGCAAATGCTTCTTTTTATAAGAAAAAATAATAATCTACTTACAATAAAAACATGTAATCAGTCAATGAAAACATCAATTCAAATAACAAATTCAGGTGACGACAAAGAAAATATCAATTCAAATTATGACAATGAAAATACACTTTTATGATCTATACATACTCTATACCTACAATGAAAACATCAATTCAAATACGATAATGAAAATACGCTTTTATGATCAAGATAAAACGGTCAATGAAAACATCAATTCAAATAAATGCAGGTGACGACAAAGAAAATATCAATTCAAATTATGACAATGAAAATACGATTTTATGATCAAGATAAAACGGTCAATGAAAACATCAATTCAAATAACAAATGCAGGTGACGACAAAGAAAATATCAATTCAAATTATGACAATGAAAATACACTTTTATGATCCTACAATGAAAACGTTATCTGCTGATCTTTGCTATGTTGATCGGTAGATATTACGTATAACCAATACGCTAACTTTAAATGTTATCATTATCAAATGTTTGTAATTTTCTAACATATTTTCTTGTTTTAGAATTTCATTAGAAGGTTCTTTAATAACGTACGAAATTAAAAAAATGAATTTCTTGCATCTTGCTGTTTTCCTAATAATATCAAGAAATGAGATAATTTTTTTATAAATACGTGGTTAATTTTCCATTCGATTTCAAAAAATCAAAAAAAAACATCCTATACAACAACAAATACATCATATATTATCACATTTAATAACAAAAGAATCATTTTCTGAATTTCAAATTTATTTAATTTTCCATACAATTTAAAAAACAAAACCAAAATGAAATTTAATCTTTTCTTGTTTTTCTTAACTTTCGTCCTCGTTATTGCTACGGCTTCGGCGATACCAGCTGGTTTTGAAGGTGGAAATGCTTTAGACAAACGTGGCGGTTCTTGTGATTTCTTTGGTGACTGGGGGTGTAAGGCCAGCTGTCGTTCTCATAATGGTATATGTTGTCCATGTAATATCGCTGGTAGAAAGGTTTGTACTTGTGTGGGCAATTGCGGAGATCCAACCAAGTGTTAACCGGATTTTTTATTTTTTTAAATTTTATTATTATTCGTCATTTATTATATATACTGTACGTTTAAAGTTTTTTTTAAATTTATAAATTCATTGTCAATATTTATTTGGGTCTAAGATAGGATTAGTTCAAGCAATGGAATTTTTATTTATGTAATTTTAATAATAAATATGAATATTTAGCAGTAAATTAAATTTATAAAAATAAATCATAATTTAAAGATCGTTGTCACAGTGAAATTTACTAATTTAGTATCAATATCAAATATTTGGTACCGGATTATTTATTTATCATCAGTGTTAGGAGTTTCATATAAACAATTAAAAAAAATAGCATAATAATCTTGATGATTTTCTGCCGGGACATGGCGTTCGTTATTAAGAGAGTGAACTGTACAACCCCAATGTTATATGTTAATTATAATTCTTTACAATTACTAGATCTATCTATTTAAAGTCTATTATGAATCGACAATAAAACATGCATAACCATTTTTATAAATTTTATTAGTAATATCTATATCATTTATAAATTAAAAAAATAAGAAAAAAGAGAAAAAAATAAAACCAACAAAAAAGAAAAAAAGAAAATATTCGTCTAAAAGATAAATTAAAAAAGTCGGGTCGGGTAGTAAAAATTAACTATAAAATAACATAATAAAATTCATGTTTTTAAAAATATTTTTTTTATTAATCACAATTTATTTTGTTTTTTTAATAGCTATTTTATAATATCTATATTTATTTACATAAAAAGAAAAAGTAATACCCATAAAAAAGAAAAATAAATAAAATCTATATGATCTATTTACTCTATTTTCTATTTCTCTAGTTAAATCTTCTATAATATTATCTTTATTAGTTAATATTATATTATATTTTGATATTCTAACTCTATTTTGTGCACCAAGTGAAAACCCATCTAATTTTGATGTCACAATAATTCCAATTGTAGCTCTGGGATATTGTGATAATACTCCTAAAATAATAAAATAAAAATTAATAATAAAATAAAAATTATATATATATTCACCTTCTAATCTATGAATTGTATCTACACACACATTTTGTGTCCAATTTTTACATTGAACTACAATCAGAATTTTTGTAATTTCTCCTTTTATATCTCGACCACCATCACCTCGTCTACATCTTAATTATAAAAACATATATTAATAAATATCTGCGTCGTTGTTATCAAGATAAAATAAGAACGTTCATATTTTTTATTGAAAATATGGCCACGAAGTGCTTCCTTAATTTTATTCATCTATCCTATTCACCACAAGAACCTGGATAATCCTTTATACCACTTAAGGTTTATGAGACCCTTTTCAGAGAAGAACGTTCATATACATATATGGTCACGATGTGCTTTCAATTCTCCTAGTGGCAGCATAACTTCAGATAGATAATAACTCGACAAATATTTAATAAGATTATACTTACGGTACACGTTGATAATTTATTTCTACTTCTTTGAATTTTTCATAAATTTCTTGTTCAAATTTTTGTTCACGCTGATAAGTAGTTATATTATACATAATTAATGTTAATTAATAAAAAAAAAACGAGAAAAAAAAATAATTTTTTACCTTTTGTATACATTGATCGATATGTCATATTTTTTATCGCGTAATTGTTATCAATATTAATAATATCAACATACTAATATTTAATAATAAACTTGTAATTATCTAATAAAAACTAGATAATTTGGCATTTTTTATACATTGCTAATAAAAAAATATTGCTTTTTATTCTCAAATTTTTTTATTTATCATATTGTAAAATAACTATTTGTTAAAAATTCTTTAAAAGTAGTCTTTTTTTATATTTATTTTGCTTGCTAAATAATGGTAATCGTTTATAAAATTAGTATTAGTCTTCAAAATTTAATGCTGATTATTTAATTTTAAAACTTAATTAACATTGATGTTAAATTTATATTTAATAGAATTTTTTAAAAAATTCTTATTGGTCTAATTGAAGAAAAAATAACTGTTGGGATGTCAAATATCAATGATAAATATCTGCTTTGCAAAAATCATAATGATAATAAAAATAAAAAACGTATTGTATAATAAATTTGATACTTATATAATATCTTATTAAAATTATTAAGCTTTCAATTTTTTTCTTTTTTCTAAATTTTTTTTTCTTTTTGACACTTTTGTTGTTGAGCAAAAGTATCAATTATAACATTTTGACTGCATCGACCTGATGTATTACGTGTTATTGATTTTTCAATGTCTTGTTTGTAAATACTTTGTAACTGATCTTTTCCAATATTATAACACTCAAAAAGATATTGAAATCCTTCATTATTATTTTGAGATGTTTCTTTGAAAAGTTGGTATTGAGTAGGATCCGATTAGTTGAATGCTTCTAATAATTGATTCACTAGATTCTGAAGAGCTTCCTCACGAGATTTTATAGATCGATCAGTTGATATTAATGAACTTTCATTAACGTATTCATTTAAAAGTAAATTTAACTGCTTTGCTCAGCTTGTACTGAAATAATTCTTGATTTCAGATCTTCATGCGATTGAAAAACTGAACCAATATTCTGTTTTATGAATTTAACACTGAATCTTTCAAGTGCCTTATCAAAGATAAAGTAATGATCTGGATGTGTTAAATTTACAGAGGAAATATATTTAAGTATTTGTTGCAAAACAGGATTATTTCCAATATATGACAAAAAATATGTGACAGATTGAGCATAATTACTATATTTTACTATTAGTGTAACAATTTTCACATACCCTTGTAATTTCTTGTATTATGTTTATCCTTTTTCGTGTTATATTTATCATTTTCTTGCATAACATGTATAATTTAATACAAATCTACATTAATACTTCTAAATGTTTCGCTAATTAAATTAGATGTAAAATATAGATCATATTATTAATTTGGATATACATTATTTTTAATTACTTTTATTTTTATTCGTTCTTTTTCTTTTTCTTTTATTATTTTTAATTCGTATTAATTATCTTTTAT